GCCTCTGCAAGAGCCCATCTCAGCCCTGGAGTGGACCAGCGCCTTGCCATCAGGGGAGGCAGATGAGGACCCTGAGGAGCTGCTGGAGCTACCAGCGGCTGAATACTCAGAGGAGATGGGATCTTTGGACCACGGGACCCAGACTGTGGTAGGTTAAGTAGCCCAGGGGGACCAGACTCTTGTCTGGCTCTGCTGCCGGAGTGTGAGTCAACGTGTTGCGCTGGATTCCCCACTGATCCAATGGTGGAACACTTTGGCACTGTTAGGGACCTGGGCTGGGATGTGGTGGAATCAGGTGAGCCTGCATTCCCCTGCCACCAGCCCCCACCCTGGGGTGGCGGCCTATTTATCCCTAGGCCAGAAGGCCCCGTGTGACGTTTGTAGCTGTCTGCCCCAGCCAGGTGGCTGTGGGTTAAGGATTGTGGTGCTTTGCCTGGCCCAGGGGGCTGGAACTCTCCCCTATAAGACTGTTACTTATGGTCTGCCAGTAGTAGGCAGAGTGGCCTCCCTCCCTACTTGAGTGTGAGGGACCACTGCAGGCACAATTTGCTCTTGGTGAATCCATGCTGGCTATTCCTTATAACCCGGTTCTCCTGTAGGTGCTTATAAATTGATTGTTTAATAATTTGTTCCAGTATCTTTTCTATTATCAACGTTACACTGTCTACTCTATCCTTCCCTGGATCCTCTCTGTTTCCCTTTTTAAAGAGTTACCCAACTCCAGTCCTCTGGGACCTCATCTTGGAGTTCTCAAAGATAATTGCTAGCAGTTCCAAGATTGCTTTAGATAGTTCGTTAAGTACCCTCAGATGGATTTCATCAGGCCCTGCTAACTTGAATACATCTAACTTATCAAACTATTATTTAACCTGTTCTTTCCCTAGCTTGGCTTGTGTTCCTTCCCCTTGTTATTAATGTTACTTGTGTTGAGTATCTGGTCACCATTAACTTTTTTAGTGACTACGGAAGCACAATAGATATTAAATCCCTCAGTCTTCTTGGTATCAGTTATTAGTTCTCATTCCTCACTAAGTAGAGGTCTACACTTTCCTTCATTTTTCTCTTGCTCCTAATGTATTTAAAGAACCTTTTCTTATAGCTTTTTATGTCCCTTGCTAGGTGTAACTTATTTTGTGCCCTGGCTTTTTGGATTTTGTTCCTATATGCATGTGTTATTCTTTTGTACTCCTCCTTAGCATTGTTTCCACTTTCTGTAGGATTCCTTTTTGATTTTCAGATAATTAATGAGCTCCTCTTCCTATTCCTCCTATCTTTCCTTTACATCAGGATAGTTTGCAGTTATGCCTTTAATATTGTCTCCTTGAGAAACTGCCAGCGTTTCTCAACCCCTTTATCCCTTAGATTGTCTTCCCGTGGGACCTTACATTCTAGTTTTCTGAGTTTTTTAATGTCTGCTTTTTTTTTAAGGTGACTGTCCTTATTCTGCTGTTTTCACTGCTTCTCTTCCTTCGAACCATGACATCCATCATTTCATCATCACTTTCACACAAATTGCCTTCCACCTTCAGATTCACAACCAATTCCTCCCTGTTGGTCGGAGTCAAGTCTAAAATGGCTGACTCCCTGGTTACTTCCTCCACTTTCTGAAACGGAAAGTGTTCCCCAATGTATTCCAAGAAATTATTCGAAAATTTGTGTTTTGCCATATTACTTTCCCAAAAGATGCCTCAGTAATTAAAGTTCCCTATTACTACCAGGTCATTTGTTTTTGATATTTCTGTTATTTGTTTTAGAAATGCCTCATCCACCTCCTCTTCCTGATTTGGTGTAGACCATTACCATAACGTCACCCCTAACATCCCCCTTTTATCTTTACCCAGAGACTTTCAACTAGTCTGCCTCTCACCTCCTTCTGGACCTCAAAACAAGTGTACATATTCTTGATGTATAATGCAACACCTCCTCCCTTTATTCCCTGCCTGTCTTTCTTAAAAAAACTATCCTACTCTATTCCAATATTTGAGTCACAAAATTTATCCCTCTAAGTCTCTGTGAAGCTAATTAAGTATATTTTAGCTTAGGCCCGGCCCCCCGCCGTTGGCCCCTGCCCCGGCTGTTTCATGCAGGGAAAGAGGAAATCCCATCATCCTCCCTCCCCCTGCAGCCCAGCCAAATCTAGCAGCTGAGCCCAGCGCAGGGTAGGAGCCACTGGCCCCGGGGCATCCCCACCCCCACAGTGGTTTATCTATTCACCGGGTTCCCTGGGGAGAGGCGTGTGACTGCTCTTGCGGCTTCCCTTTGCTTTCCTGTCAGAAAGTCATTTTTCTGTGGGGAAGCAAAGAAATCTGTGGGGGACATGAATTCTGTGGGCATGCAGTGGTGCAGAATTTCCCCAGGAGTAATATACATTTTTATTTTGCTTTATGTGTAAAATGTCTTTTTCTTTCCCATGGACTACCTTTTTAATTTACCCTGTCTGAGTAGGAGGGGAAGAAACTTGCTTTTGTTTGTTCAGATGATTTTATTTGGGATTTTGTACATTTCCATTTAATATACATTTCCGTTTATAAGTAGCGAGTGACATTAAAGCGGTTACAGTTCTGGACATGAACATGAGATGTTATACCAGGATATACTCTTTGCATTGGCAGCATTTCTCCAATTTTTTGTCCCTTGTCGATCCAACCTCTGTATGTAACAGGCCTGATATAGAACATATGGACGCAGAAACCTTGAGACAAGGAGGGGGGGGTGAGATTTAGGGAGGATAAAGGAAACATCAAACTTTGATCATTATCTGATCTCCTTGGCTGATTTTACTCTGACAATTTTCTGATTATCTTCCAATCTTGTACTGTCATTGGTGTTAGCACTGCTGGGAGCTCTAGTGCAGTCCAGCTAACCAGTAAAGCTGGTGTCTTTGGGAGGTCGGGGGAGGAATTTTTTTCTTATGGAACCAAACTACCGTGTATTTCAAGCTCCCTCGTTTTATTTTCCTTCTCTCATTTTTGTCTTTGTTTTCTTCACTTTAGGTCCTCATTTTTGTTCATTTGTCTAAGTGGGTGGAGAGCTAGAGGGGAAAAGGAGTGTGTTGCTGTTCCTTTTGATGGAGAATTTGGCCTGCTTTGTGTTTGAGTGAATGAGTTGTACTTGTATTCAAATATAGGATCAGATAGATTTGAGTGAAACACCGGCATTGGCCTACTTTACACAGTTATGATTTGCTTAACTTCCAAGTTTGTTTAGATCGTGCTTCTACCATAGCTCTCCAATTGGTTCAGAATAGAAGGTAAATTTGTTTAATGACAAATCTTTAATAAATATTTAAATATTAGAGTATGGTAGCTCAGTTACCTGATCCACGAAGTTTGACCCCGTTATTAATGACACTTCTCCCTCCATGGGGGTTCATTCGTCTCTCAATCATGCCACTGAAAGGAGCATACACTGTTGAGCCATCTCCGCATATAACATCCACCCCTAGGTGCTTTCTTCTACCGTCCTCTCTGTAAGTGTGTAAATGTGCAAGTAATAAACAATGCTGACTTACATGTTCATTAGCCCTAAAGTATCACACTAGATACACCATGTAGATTATTTAAAGCAACACAGGGGGGTATGGCTACCATTGTTAGCTTAGTTGTGTTTCAAATTTTGTATTTCTGCAATGGCGGTAGAAGGATTTGAAGGTTCAGTCCAGTTATAATAATTGCAAATCTCTCTCAACTGTTAATCCGAGCGAGTCAAAAATATATTTTATTTTCTTTAAAAATTATTGAAAGAAATAAAATCTTCACTTTTACACTTTTTGAGTGTTTGGGGGATATACCAGGGTTTCAAAAAACAAAACAAAGTAACACAACCTCCCCCTCACCCCGCCAACATATACATATTTCCTTTGTTAACATGAAAAACAAAAAAACTTCACATTTTGAGGTTTTTGATATTTGCGAAAACACATAAAAACTCCTTGAACAAAAGGAAAATTGCTCAAGAAGGCCTGGGAGGAAAATAAACCTTTAATCATTGAAGATTAAAAAAAAAGTAAATTAGT